TGTTCTCAAGGGGAATGCTTTCAAAGTGTCTCCATTTAGAATGATGTTGGCTGTTATTTTGTATAAATGCCCTTAATTATACTGAGGAATTTCCCTTCTATTCCCATTTTGTTGAGACTTTTTATCATGAATGGGTGTTAAGACTTTGTCACATGCCTTTTCTGCATCGACTGATAAGACCATGTGGTTCTTGTCTTTTATTTATGTGATGGATTATACTGATTGTTTTTCTAATGTTAAACCATCCCTGCATACCTGGCATAAATTCCACTTGGTCATGGTGAATTATTTTTTTGATATGTTACTGAATTCTATTGGCTAGAATTTTGTTTAGGATTTTTTCATCAGTGTTCATGCGGGATATCGGTCTGTAATTTTCTTTTTTTGTGGTGTCTTTACCTGGTTTTGGTACCAGGGTTATGCTGGCTTCATAGAGCAATGGAATTTTATACACGTGTGCATATGTATACGCATATGTATGTGTGGGTGAGTATATATAGTTGTTGTAGTTAAGTGCTGTTAAGTTAATTCCAGTTCGCAGTGACCCCGTGACAGAGGAGAACTGCCTCATAGGGTTTTCTTGGCTTAATTACTATGGAAGCAGATTGCCAGGTGTTTCTCCCACAGAGCCACTGGATAGTCTCAAATTGCCATCTTTTGGTTAGCGATCGCTGCTTAACCATTTGTCCCACCTGGGATTGTTAGGTATATAAATATTTTAATTTCATTATACATTGTTAAGACTCTCTGTTGAAGCAGTGCTACCTCTCGCATAAATGACACCTCACACGTGTTTTATGGTTGTTATTCTGAAGTTCAGTGCCATGCAATTCGTGGATTTCTCCTACCACTGAAGACCAGGTGTCATTTTTCATGAATCGTACGATTATCTTTTCAGTGGATAGCTTTTCTCCATCAATAAGGTTTCTAGAAGCTGACCCAATAATTTAAGGTGAGGTTCACAACATGAAACAAAAAGGAGAGAAAGTACTCAGAGGGAAAAGGTAGCTGTGAGCAAAGAAAGCTTCTGACGCATTTTTCTGTTTCTGTACTTCGACAATGTTGTGAAAGCAATTTACTAGGAAATACTTCCATGAAGATTGAGAATGATGGTGACATAAATAGAGTGTAATTAGAAGAGCAAAGTAGAAAGGTACTGGACAGAATGCACATGGAACATTAAAAGAGAAAAAGGGTGTGTTAGGATTGATGAAAGTCAGAAAAGCAAGCTCAGGTTATCTGTGAAGCACATACTCCACAACCGAAAAGAGACTTCTACAAATTGATTTTTTCAAATCTCATTCCCTCCATGCAGGCCCAATCCTTCAAACGATTCTTGCCTCTTGGTGCCCCCAACACATTAATCCTGGACAGGTGCCAACTGCACTCTCCTCAGGTCTTCTTCTTGCTACTCTGGGAGAACAAATGGGTGTAGCCGATATGGTAATCACGGAGAAAGGCAAATCATTAGGGAAGACAGGGAGGAGCAATGAACACTTCCCTGACACTGAGCCAATACTTTGGTCCTCAGGGTCTCTGGTGATTGGCAGGTGTGACTTTAACTGTAGCCAAATAATCATGTCAAATTTGTAATAAAGTATGACTCTTTACATGGTCCCAGACCACAAATATTCCCTCTGTGCACCAAAGACACCCTTGAAGCAAACACTAGATTTGCATTTAAAGGGCCTTAAGGCTTTTAACTACAATCGAAGTGAGAGATCAGATTAATACACAGAGCTATCTGTATTCATGGGAAACCAAGAAACGCATGTTCCAGAGAGAAAATGAACATACTTGTCTTATTTAACAATGTTTTCTCATTCCTTGGCCCACACAGTAGAGTAACATCAATGGGAATGACATACTTGGTCACAAAAATAAAACAAATTTAAAAATAAAGTAAGAACTATGGCTGCTAACCAAAAGGTCAGGAGTTCAAATCCACCAGGCACTCTCTGGAACCCTATGGGGCAGTTCTCCTCTGTCGTATGGGGTTGCTATGAGTTGGAATCAACTTGACGGCAATGGGTTTGGGTTTTTTTTTTTTTATCCGTATCTACTGAGGCCAGGCTTCTGAAGATTTCCATCACCACATCTCTGTAGAGTTGCCTCTGAGAAAGATCCAGCAATGCCCACTCTTCCTGAGTAAAATCCACAACCACATCCTCAACAGCCGAGTCCTAAAAATTATCACATAATCTGGTTTAGCAAAGTACCACGTACTCCAGTGTGTGCGAAAGGAAAGGTGAGGCTGACAGTCCTGAGGAACTGACATTTCATGGGGATTTGACACAAGTTTTGTGTTCTACTAAGGTCTACTCTAGGGGTTAGCCATCAGCCTCATCCCTTCACTGCCTACATTCACTTTTTCACAGACTGTATTCTGTCTCATAGACTTAACAATTTTTCCAACACAATGAACTTATCTCTCTACCACCTGACTGTAACCAATTGTACTCACTCCTCTCTACCTTTATGATCTAGAACAGTCAGAACACATAGCATCAACTAGAAAAATGCTCTACAGTGAAAGCCCTATTTCCATACTTGGATCATCTCTTCCTTGTAAAAAAAAAAAAAATTCACCTCCTTGCACAGGACCCAGCAGAATATTTAACAAAAAATGAAACAGGGTGAAAGTGGGATGAAATGTTAAAAACTGGGAAACACTGCAAAACCGGCAGTTTTTCCTTTTGCCCCTCACCAGCGATGGGAGGCCCAGTGGCCTGCATAAAGCGGCAACCCAACCCAAGGCCCTAAGCTTATCATATTTTCTTAAAGAACTCCAGGTGATCAGGAGCTGACAGGACCACCTGCTCAAAAGAAAGTATTAATTTGAAGAACTGCAAATTTTTACATGTCTCTCACCTACTTTTCAATAACTCTACAAGTACACTGTCATGCACTCTGTCCCTTCATGGAGGCAGGCAAGGGTATTGCAAAGGTAAACGGAGATCAGCTGAGACAGGAAAAAAGAGAATCTAGATATCATCACAATTTTCAAACTTAGAGACCCAAAGCTACTGTACAGCAATTATGACTCTCCAACAAACACACACCCAGACACCCACCCACACACAACCGTTATGACAAAGAGCCTAATCTTTAAAGACGCAGAATAGCAAGCCCTTGTGTTTGCTGACCATGAACAAGAGGTTAAGATTCACATTTTCCAGTAAGTTCACTGATGTGCAGGGGATTTAGCTGTTACACAACTTGTGCATTGCAAGAAATAGACTTACACACCAACCCTGTGGATGCTCCACTCCAACATTTTCTCATATTTTCAGCCCTTAGAAGGTACACAAGCATGACCACCTGAACCCTGACCACTGGCATCGTCTGGGCTCCAGGACTGGCCTCTATGAAATAGCATCAACTCTTTAGCTCCCAACATGTAGTGAGGATACAAAAGGCAGTTATACGGCACTTCTGATGCTAAATTTTACTGAACAGCGAGCAGCTGTAGAACAGATAAGCTATGGGATGAAGTGAGCTATCAAGGTCATTCCTAATCGATCCTGGTATGATAGTGTCACAGCAATCTTTGTTTCACTACTGCATTCAAAACTCTCCTCCACTGCAGTGTAGCAGGTTACATATTTTAAAGCCATCAAAAACTCTAATTTCCATTCCTACAACATATTCATGATAAAATGTTGCATTTATTGAGCAACTACAGTATTTCAAGGGATTTGCAAAAACTTTTCAGCACACTTGCTCTTTATTCCTCCTACCTCTCCTAAACAGATATTGCTTCAAATGGGTTATAGCAAGGAAAGTTACAATCAATCACATGGTCAATGTTCACCAAATGGTATGTTGCTGAGGCAGCATCACTATGCAGGTCAATATACCAAAGACTAAATTCCTGACAACTACGTTTCTGTGCATATGCCTACAGTTTTCTTGTTATACTGGCTGTTAATCCTCAATTACATGGATGATCTAGAGCCTGCTGGGTAGTGGGGACAGGAGACAAAGGAAACATCCTTTTCAGTTCAGACAACCTGGACCTGCTTCTCCTGGCAAAGCCAAGTGTCTCAGTCAAGACTACTTCCCTTCAGGCACTTTGTAATAATCGTGCAGCAGAAGCAGTGTCTGAACTCCTCTAACTTCACAAGAGGGAATGAGAATCAAGAACAGCCCAAGGCTCAACATGTGTACTGTTTAATGAGAAACTATTTTGTTCTGTAAACCTTCATCTAAAGTAAGAATAGCAGCACAACTGGAAGAATGTAATCGATGTCACCGAACCGTGCATGTAGAAATTTTTAAAATGGTGTATCTTTCACTATGTATGTTTTCACCAAAAAAAAAGGTCAAGAAGGGAGACTGTTGACATGTCGTGGGGTTGTTAACCAATGCCATAAAACAATACATGTGCTGACTGTTTAATGAGAAACTATCTGTTCTGTAAACCACCTGAAGTACAAAAAAAAATTTAAAAAAGAACAGCTCAAGGCTAATTCCTATGAGGTGGAGGTCAGACATGCCTCCTCTCTCCACCATCTTTACCAATTCTGATATCAACCATCCCTCCCAGGGCATTCACTACTTCTCTTCTGAGTTTGGCGATTCTTGCAATGGCCAAAAGGAACTCACAGATAATACTCAGATTATGGGGTTTATTAGAGAAGTAACTGGTTACAATTCAGGGTCAGGAAGGCTCAAGATACACTTCTTCTGTCATGACAGTCTCTTCTCAGCTATGCCCGCTGGCCAGGAAGCCTAGGAAGCTGCCAGGAAGCCTAGGCCTGAAGGCACTCAGCTCTAGCTTTCTGGGTCAGTAAACCGAGCTCCACCAAGTGCCTGGAGGCACCCTACTTCCTGCCTAGAGGCACTCAGCTTTCTCGCTCCATGGGCTGGGAAGCCCACCAGGCCGTCTCTTGCTGGTCTCCTGCCACTCTACTGGTTCTGTGGCCTCTGCTATTGCCATTCCTCTGCTGCTGCTTCTTGGCATCTTGCCATCCTCGGTGTTACAACTCTGTCTCTTGAGTCTAGGAGGGTCTCAGCCCAGGCATCCCAGGTCTAAAGGACACGCTCCACTCCTGCTTCTACTTTTTAGGTGATGGTGAAATCCTTTCTTCGCACCTCTGGTATGGCTCATTTTAAGCCTACAAGGATGGCAAAGCTGACCAATCCCCCCCGTTTAGAGTTCCATATACCTTGTTAGCATGGTCCCACCCAATCATTTGCTTGGAGTTACAAAGACTATGGCTAGAAGGGCCATATTAAGCAATTCACTGCACCACACCCTTACATCTAGCCCTGTCATTTATTAAAACTATTTAGGTAATATTGACACAGAGCCTACTTCACACGAGCAAAGTAGATACAGCACTGAACAAACCGGAAATATCCAGATACACAGGGATCGTAATTTCTTTGGGTGTGGTTAGTAAATAAACGAAATATAATGTCAAGTTCCCTGGGTGGCGCAAGTAGTAAGCGCTTGACTACTACTCAAAAGGCTGGTGGTTCAAAGCCACCCACAGGTTCCTTCGAAGGCAGGTCTGGTAATCTGCTCTGACAGATCAGAGCCTTGAAAATCCTACGGAGCTCTGCACACACTGGGTCACTATGAGTCAGAATTGACTCCACAGCAACTGTTAGGGATGGAATTGTGTCTCCAAAAAATGTGTGTCAACTTGGCTAGTCCATGATTCCTAATATTGTGTGGTTGTCTTCCATTTTGTAATCTGATGTAATAACCTGTGTATTGTAAATCCTAACCTCTTAGATGTTAATAATAAGATCGGAGGCAGTTATCTTAATGAACCAAGAGAAAATCTAAAGGATTAGGTTCTATCTTGAGTCAACCTTTTTTGAGATATAAAAGAGAGAAGCGAGTGTGGGGGGTGGGGGGAACTCCTGCCACCAAGCAAAAAGAGCCAGGAGTGGAGTCCGTCCTTTGTACCTGGGGTCCCTGCACTGAGAAGCTCCTAGACCAGGGGAAGATTGATGACAAGGACCTTCCCCAGAGTCCACAGAGACAGAACGCCTTCCCCTGGAGCTTGTGCCCTCAGTTCAGATTTCTAGCGTCCTAAATTGTGAAACAATAAATTTCTATTTGTTAAAGCCACCTACTTGTGACATTTCTTTTATAGCAGCACTAGATAACTAAGAGAGCAGCTGACAACAATATAATGTCACATGGTGGTAAGGTCTATGAAAAATGCAGCATGGTCAGGGGATAAGGTGAAACAGAAGCATATTTACTTTTAGTGAGTTAGTGCAGGGAAAAGCAAAATAATCATTTTAGGAAACCAAACCTAGTGAAACCTGGCTTGGTAAGCAAAAATAAATATATTTTTAATTCTAAAAACTTGGAAGCATTCTGTGATGATTTCACAAACATTCATATATATTTCAAATGCTCATCGACTTTAACAACTTCAGTGTAGGAGTATAGCAGTGAAAGAGTGCCAGTGACCTTCATGGGTTGGAAAAGGAAGATACACTGTTTATTCACAAAATGAAAAGGTCACTAGCAAAAGGTAAAGGCACTGGAAGAATAAAGGCAGCATGAATAAATACTATCAAGAAAGTAAACACGGAATAGTAAGACAAAACACAAATGAAGACTCTCAGGTTTTGGTTTGATAAGAGCTTGGAAGTCATCACTCCCATCCTCAAGAAAAAAGCTGAACATACTGAACCAAGAGTTTGAGGTCATAGGAAAAGGACTCTCCCCCAAACTGGAGGGACATACAGGCAGATACAATCATTCCAGAGCAGAAGCCCAGGAGCAGAGTACCTACGTGTCCCTCCAGTTTTGGGGGCAGTCATTTGCCCTGAGACATCAATAGCCTAATTAATTGAATTCACTGAAAACAATGATCAGAGCTAAGACTTGAAAGATACGAAGGAATTACCGAAGGGACAGCTGAAAATAAGACTATTCAAGGAGAAGGAAACGCCAGAGAACAGGTCAGCAGGTGGGAGTTTCCCTGGTATGTTTTAGGGAGACTTACACACCAGCATGACCAGACCAGGGTGAGATGCTGGAGAGAAAATAGTAATTTGGAGAGGTGACTGGAGCCAGTGGACATATCATGGTCTGGGGAAAGTGCTGGCTTCTGAAAAGTCTCCGGCTTCTCATCTGAGTAAAATACAGAACAATTTTACGCCTTTGATCAGAGATAAAAATGATATGACAGTTCTTAAGGAATCTGTGTTTGGGGGCAAATGTAAAAGTTGCAAGCCATGTTAGAGGGTTTTGGCCATAATCAGATAAGAAACGATGAAAACGGGCACATACAAAAACTGTACAGCAAAGCACATACTTGCAGAAAATGTCAATACTTTTCTAGTAAAAGCAGGTAAAAACCGAGGACATCTATTATTCCATTCCTATTCAATGTTATTGTAGAGGCTGTAACCAATACATACCAAAAAAGAAAAAGGAAAAAGGTAAAGAAGAATGTTAAAAAGAAAAAACACCCCAATCTATATTTTCATGTCAAATAATTGGACAGGTAGAACCGCCAAGGATACTACAGATGATAATAGTGGTGACAGTATTCAGATTACAAAATAAATATCAAGGTAAGGATTATTTTAAATATTTCATTTATATACACTAGTAACAAGCAGTTAAATTAATTTTTAAAAGAATCATATATTTTTAGTAAGAGTAAAATGTATCAAAAAATAGAATAAGAGATCCTAATGAAAAAATTATAAAACACTATTAAATGACACACAAATAGACTGAAATAAACAAAAA